TTTATCAAAAATCTTTTTTAAATGTAATTTTTTTTTTGGTAAATATAAGTATTTTTTTGTTATATTTGTTTAATTTTATAGATCTAAATACTTTTTGGTTCAAAAAAATTTTAGGGACTTAATCATTCAAAATATGAATGTTCATTGGGTTTTTTTCAGACTTTTTTTTCACTATTTTACCACTTTAACTAGTTGTACAAGTCATAAGAATGTATCCAACATGTTTTAGAAAAAGTTCAAGGAGATTTAACATGTTTTGGATTGTCCAATAACTTATTTGTTCCAAAAAAGTGTCCAATGAGTTATTTAACATGTTTTAAATTATCCAAGGACTTATTTGTTCCAAAAAATTGTCTAATAAGTTATTTAACATGTTTTGAAATGTCCAATGATTTATTTGTTCCAAAAAATTGTCTAAGGACTTAATCATTTCAAACACTAAAGTCCATTGGGTTTTTTTAGACTTTTCCCTTTATTTTATTCTTTATTTCAGTCGATGTTATAATATGATCTTATGTGTATTTAAAAAAAATGTTTTTATTTTTGAATAAAATATAAACTTGAAGATATTATAAAAAATTGATCAAAATATATTGTTATTACTATCAAATTAATTATTTAAAATTCATAATATTTATGTAATTTTTTAATTTAATTTTTTTATTATAATTCAATTTAGGTTCAATAACGAAGTAATTTATTTTTGGTTTTAATAATAAAACTTTTTTATAAAGATAATAAATTGATTATTTTGATAAAACACGATAATTATTCTAATTATATTTTAGATTTTTTATATTTCGAAATGAGATATTTATCCTCTATTTGATTATGTTTATCCGTATTTAGTTATACAAATTCAAACATGGAGCTTTAATAAGTTGTATGTATGCATAACTTACCTGTAATCTTGAATTTTAAGTAATATGCATCAATATACAATACTTCATGCATTAAAAATGGTTTTTAAGAGTTTTTGTTAAATGTTTTATAATATAGTATAGACTAATAAAGGGTTGAGTTTTGATATAATGGATATGACACGTCTTTTTATTATTTGGATTAATTTTAATTGAAAAGATATGTTATATCAAGTTTCATCTAAAACGTAATTTATGAATTGTTTTAGAATGAAAAGTGATAAAATGTTCAAATTCTTTGTTACGTTTTTCATCTTAACTCATTTTCACACAATCTTTTGTCTAGTAATGGAACACATAAGTGTTAATGTAATAATATATATACATATACAATATATATGGTTTGATTCTGATGAGAAGACTAATAAGCGAACTCCATCCTCAGATCAATCATAATTGAAGATTATCACTAATGAGATGTATCAAGATACATTGGTTCAATTATTGTGAGAAGCGTTGTTCATAAGGTGGTGATAACTCTCAAGTTTGAGAGTTACTCCTATTTTTGTCATTTAAAACACTCATTTTGCTTTGTTTTTCCCCTTTTTATCTAAAAAGTTTTAAAAAGATGATTAAAAACCAGTGATTTAATTTTATTCCAAAAACCATCACTATGAGATTGTGCCCATAATGTCACCACTGTGGGAAGATTCTGAAGTTGTGTGGGTAAGGATGAATTTTGTGGATTGGTACTCTTAAAGACAAATTCAGGAAGTATGGAGCTGGCTTGAAAGAATGTCATTCTAATTGTTGCATGAAAGAAGAATGTCAGGTATCTCGTTAACCATGATCTATTTCCTTTTGGATAAAAGAGTATCGTCTCCTTCCCTTTTCTTTCCTATTTAATGTGGCCTATAATTCCATTGAAGGATATCTCATTTTGGAGTTGATTCTATCCAAGTTCTATTTTAAAGCTTTTAAGTATTTTGTATTTACTTTCTTGTAGTAAGCTCCCGTAGTTGTAACTTCTGCCCATAATCTCACTACTGTGGCGACAAAATCTTGTGTTATCTTAATAGAAGTGTTGTTTAAGTCTTATTCCCTTTCTTCTATTATAGTTTCCATGTCAAGTATGGGTTAATCACCTTTTTGGGTGTGTGTGAGTTAACTTAGGACTTATAAGAAACATTTCGGTGTTTTCATTTTTAACACGTTGTAAACTTGAACACTTAAGTCGGGACTAAACTCAACGCGGATAAGTCGTTCCTTTTGAAGTGTTAATGTTAGATCCTTGACCCAGAGATGGACGGATTTGAAATACGGCTTAAGTGATGCACAAAAATTTGAGAAAATCTTTGATAATTATGTGGGGATATGAATTTTGTACGTATTTAGCTAAGGTTCATATCTTAATTGAGAATTTATATACAAAGAGATTTGAGTATGAATTTTTGGTGTAATAGAACTTGGTACTTTTATCTAATCAACTAAATTAGCAAGCTTCGGACTGGTGAAAGTGAGAACTTTATGGGCACTGTCTATGAAACTTCACTTTCGAGAAATTTGAATTTCTATAGATATCTCATGAGTTTATGACCCCCATTATATTATTGTTTTTGTCTTTATGGAGTACTTACATATATACCCCATTTTTTATTTACAAGTCTATGCCGTCTTTTAAGTTTTTCACAAACAAAAACTTAACTTTTAATCACAAACCGAAACATGCTCAAGAAGTTCATGAAATTCTCCGATTCTCAGTAGTTCAATCCATGTGGAACAATCTTGGTACTTTACTGCTCTATTACTTATAAGCAATCATAGTGTTGACGTGCATTTGTACCACCATTGTAGGGACTTTGTGTCCATTGTGTAAACACGAACGATTTTTGCTGTCAGGTAGAGTGAAATTAAAAATGATCAAAAGTCCAGATCTCTTCTTATGTTTCTCACATTAACCTTTATTGTCACAAGATCAATTGTGTGTATATATATGCCATGGCCCATGAGGTGTTATCCTACGTTCTCGAATTTGAGGTGGAAGGAAGCATGCCAATAAAAGAAAAATAAGTTTTTTATTCATATTTTTTAAAAGGAAGGGAAAACAAATAAAATAAATAAAATAAAATAAATTTTTATGACCTTAAACGGAATAGAAAAGAAGTCATTTTTTCAAATATACTCTTTAAGAGAACGTTTTGATATTGCTTATTTAAAGTGTTTATTAACTTATTCCTATATATTACCAGTTTTAAGGAGTTTTTAGTATTTCGATAAAAAAAAGAAAAAAAGAAATATGTAATCGGTTTTGCACAAGTAATAAGAAGTTTTTAATAAATTACTTCATTATAACTTATTACGGTGTGGTATCAGTAATAAAGAGTTTTTAGTGTTTGGATTTGGATTTGGGAAAAAATAAATATTTATCAACTTATTACGTTTTGGTACTACCATAAACTAAAACAAACTTTTAATAGAACTCTGGTTTGACACCACATAAATTGATAAGCACTTTTATAAAAAAAAAACATAAGTTGTTTTAAATAAGCAATCCCAAACACACCTTAATATATTATTATAATGAAATATTGGGTAGTTTTGTAATTTTTATAACTTTTTGTAGGTTTTAATCTCTGGTTGGAAGGAAAGTTTTGATAGGAAACATATGATTATTTTATTTATGTTTCATTTCTTTCTCTCCTAAAAGGTTTCGAGAATACGAGTATTTTTACTTTCCTCTATTTTTCCTCTCTTTCCTTTGTAAAAACAGGTTTCGAGAACACACCTGACAGACTTGTATTCACACACCCAGACTTAACAACCAGGATCAAAAGCAAGTATACAATTAGTCCCAATATCGTCTTTCAAGTAATAAAGTGGTACAAGTACCGGATATCGTCCACAATGATTATAGTAAAAGTTCAGTAACACTAATATTAAAGAAATGATTTCAGAAGGCGAATTTTGAAGACTTTGATTTTATCTGAGTTAACACTACTAAAAATGAACAGGAAAAAACATAAAGCCAGAGTGTAAAACTCAGGATGAGATGTAAATACTATTTCCAGTATATCAATGTTGTCAAAATGCTACGACATGA